ACATGACAAAAACAAGAGAGATGAGATGAGGGATAGAGAGAGAGAGAGGCGAGAGATGAGATCGACGATTGACTTCACTTGGTGAATGGAGATTGATGACATAGACGAGACGAGATTAACAACAGAATTGCAGGTTCACTTTTCTCTCCTCTCTTTTTTTTTTTCTTCTTTCTTTTCTTTTCTTCTTATAGTAGATTAGGTCGCTTGTTCTCTTTGATTAGGGTTTCCTGATTAGGGCTTCGATTGGGTCTCTTCTCTTTGATTACGACTTTTTGATTAGGGCTTTGATTAGAGCTTTCTGACCAAGTCGTGTCCCATACAAAAAAAAGAAAAAGAAAAAAGGGACATTCCAAATGGCGAGTCTTGTATGTGTTCGGCACGTGTCCCCATGTCCACCGACACCACTATGACACCTATTTTGAAGTGTCCGTGCCTCATAGATGAAATTATATGTGCTGCCAGTGGATAATAGTTCTCAAATAGAAATATATGCAGTCACACTTGATTAAAACTTGAATAAAAAAATTGTCGATACATCTTCTTTTTCTTCTTTCTTCTTCCAGCTTGCTGGTTCACACACACACACACACACACACACACACATATATATATATATATATATTTGTTTAGGTTTTTCTTATTTTTATTTTTTATTTTTTATATTTTTTCTCCCTTCTCCTTCTAGGTTCCAATTTTCTTCGCTTCTTCTCCTCTCCTTTTTGATGTTTTGAGATGGTTAAACTAAACTTGAATATTGGTGCTTTTGATGAATGTTGATTATTTTGCATTTGGAATGATATGATCTTTTATGGGCTTTGAAAAATTATTATTTGCTTTATTTCTTTTATTTTTTATTTTTAAATTATTTGCCTTAGGTCAATATAAGTTGTGAATTCTGTGTTTTGCTTATGTTGATATCTAAATCATTAGTCTATGTTAATATATATCTTTTTTTTTTATTTATTGAAAAGCTGCACCTTGCTGCAATGAAGCGCACCTTGCCTTGCACTTAAGCCCCAAGAGACCTTCTGCGTCTTGGGGTGCCCTGAGCCTTTAAAAACACTGTGAAAGCAAACCATACCTTGACATGTGAACTTATCTCTAATGGTTAAGGGTGCAACTTGGGCAGGCACAACCAGAGCAACTTGAACCTAGCTCGAATTTTTTTAGAGCTTGGACAAGGTATTTTCAAATTCGGTACATGTTTGGGCAAAAATTCAGAAGCCCGAATTAAATTTGGACAGGCTTGGGCAAAGACATCAAACTGATAAGGAAGAGGTCCAAGAGGTCCAAGAGGTGCATCAAGTGTAATGTGCTGCCGTTGTAGACAATATTTTCCTTAACAGAGTGTAACAGATTCAGTTAGCTTAAACTATAGATTAGTTCGAAGTGTGGTTAGTTGGCTTGTAACAGTTTGTAACAGTAGGTAGTTAGAAGTGTGGTTAGGTTAATTCGTTTGTTCACTGTACTGATGTATAAATATGATTTGTAATCTCTTATTATATTCAATGAAGATATTTTAGATTTCAACTTTACCTTTCATCATGGTATCAGAGCTCCAAGAAGCTCTCGCGAGCAATTCTCAAGATTCATCTATGGAGTCCTCTGCTATTCCTTCAAATCTCAATCTCCTGCTATCGAATCTCAGTTCTCTTGTAACAGTGAAGCTAGATGGCTCGAATTTTGTTATTTGGAAAAATCAAATGCAGAATCTGCTTCGAGCAACGGATCTACTCGCCATTGTTGATGGCTCAAAGAGTGCCCTGTTGACACAGTGCGACAATCTGCAGGAATTGAGATTCCAAATCCAGAAGCTGTTAGATGGAAGATGATTGATGCGCATCTACTCAGCTGCATCACTGCTACTCTTTCTCCTACGATTTTCACTTCTGTGTTACATCTTCACACCAGTGCTCAGGTCTGGCAGTTTCTTGATTAACGCTTTACCTCTCTCTCTAGGTCTCATATCCACCAGTTAAAGAACAAATTAAGTTCTATTTCAAAGGAATCTGACTCAATGGAAGTTTATTTGAGCAAAATCAAAAGTATTGTTGATCAGTTGAGTATTGCTTCATCATTTGTAGAAGATGAGGATATTGTTCTTCTTACATTGAATGGATTGCCTTCTGAATATGATGCAGTTAAAGTAGCTATTCGAACTCGTGCAGAGTCCATTTCTATGGAGGAACTTTCTGCTCTACTCTATTCAGAAGCTATTCACATTGAAGGAAAATTAAAACAAAATTCTGAACTCACTGTTGCTTATGCAACTGTGAAAGATTCTAATACTTCTAGAGGATTTAACTCTTATCATCATAACAGAGGTTCTTCTCGTGGTGATTCTAGAGGTTCTCATAGAGGCACTCGATTCTTATTCAGGAAGATCCTCTCGTGGCAGATCTCAAGGAAGAGGACAATTTGGTATTGTTTGCCAAATCTGTGGTAAAGCCAATCACACAGCTCTTGATTGTTGGCATAGGCTAGATACTCAATTTCAGTCTTCACAAGTGTCTTCATCACAGCAATCAAAGCCATATCAGTCTCATTCTCAGCCATATCAGTCTCAGCAGTCAAAGGCATATGTTACCTCTTTAACTGAGGACAATGGTTCTTGTTCTCCTTGGTTTTTGGACTCAGCTGCTTCTGATCATATCACTAATAATCTTCATCAACTTAACTCCATTCAACCCTACACTGCTGGTGATCAAGTCACTATTGGTAATGGCTCTTCCCTTCCTATCACTCATACAGGCCAAGGTATACTACCTCCTCCTCACCATTCTTTCAAACTCAACAAAGTTTTGCATGTTCCTTCTATTAACTCTAATCTTGTCTCTGTGCATCACTTGGCTAAAGATAATAATTGTTCTATCACATTTGATCATTCTTCCTTTACTATTCAGGACAAGCTTTCCAAGGCCATCCTCTATAAAGGTTTTTATGCCAATGGACTATATCACTTTCACACTCCAACCACTGCTTCCTCACATGCCTACAGTAGTTCAGTTACATCTGCTGCTTCCACTGATATTTGGCATCAGAGATTAGGCCATCCTTCTACTCTTAAGTTTCATTTGCTTAAGCACAAATTACCTCTGTCTGTAGCTTCCAATAAAAGTACATTTTCTTGTGTACATTGCTCTGTAGCCAAATGTCATAGGCTACCTTTTACACTGTCTAATTCCACTGTAAATAATCCACTGGCTTCGATTCACAGTGATGTATGGGGTCCCTTTAATAAATCTGCTTCTCCTTAGAAATACTATGTGTTGTTCATTGATGATTTTACTAGATTCACTTGGCTTTATCCTCTTGTTTATAAAAGTGAAGTGTGTGCCAAATTTATGGAATTCAAAGCTTTTGTGGAAAAACAGTTTGGTTTTCCTCTCAAAATTCTTCGTAGTGACGGAGGTGGTGAATACAAGAATCATCCTCTTCAACATTATCTTCACACTCATGGCATTCACCATCAGTTTTCCTGTCCACATACTTCCTCTCAAAATGGAGTGGCTGAGAGGAAGCACTTACATCTCACTGAAATTGCTATTTCTCTTCTTCATCAGTCCTCTATGCCTCTTCTTTATTGGTTTGATGCCATAGCTGCTGCCACATATTTGATCAATCGTTTACCTAGTGTTTCTCTTAATAATTGCTCTCCTTTTGAGTTGCTATATCATACTGCTCCTGATTACTCTCTACTCAAAGTCTTTGGTTGTCTTTGCTTCCCCTGGCTTAAACCTTATGCTTCTCATAAGTTGGCTAAGTTAGTTCATGTAATGTTTACTTTGCATACGAATGAGAGTATTGTTAATCATTTCTACGGATTGAATGTATGAGTTTATTTCCGCATGTTATCTCTGAAATTGGATTAAGTTAAAGAATTTGGTACTGACTCCGAGTAATAAAAAGTGGGGCGTGACAGGTTTGGGCAAAAATTCAGAAGTCCAAATTACATTTGGACGGGCTTGGGCAATGACATCAAACAACCTGAGCAACCCAAAACCCGAATTATACATATATAGATATATAAAAATTTTAAATATTAACTATATATATATATATAAATTATTAGCCCTTAATAAATTGTTAGTCATTACATGATATTAAAATAATTTAAATTATTAAATCTTATTGAATATATAGTATATATACAAATAATATAAAATCTTTTTTTTCACTCATAAATTGTAAAGACTACTATAACGGCACATCTCTTACATTATATAAATTATTTGTTTTGATGGTATTAATGATTTTCTATATATATATATAAAAAATGTAAATAGAGTCAAATTTTAATAATTTAATAATGTAGTTTAAAAAAAAAAAAACAATTCAGGTAATTCGGGCAACTCGGGTTTAACTCGGGTCGAGTTTGGGCAGGCAACCTCGGGTTACAATTCAGGTTTGGGCGGGCTTGGGCAGATCTCAGTACAACTTGGGTTGGTCTTGGATAACCTCCCAACCCGACCGAACCCGCCCGAGTTGCACCCCTACTAATGGTACATTAAACCCAAATTATATACATATAATTCATTGCTTTTATGCCAACACAAAAGTAAAACTAGAAAAAAGATAAAGAACTTTATATCACTTAACTTAGCATTCTACTAGAGAAGTACACCATGCTGAAACAAGATATCTAAATAAATATTTTGCAATTTGCAGTTATTTTGACACCAAAGACTCAATGTTCTAGATGTGTGTTCAAATTTCTTGTACTTACGTCATATTTGAACATCCACAAAAGAAGGTTGCTATATATCACTATTTTTTTTCACCAAACTTTTCACCTCTAATGCGGTTTCCTATGTAGCATAATAAGCTGGTTTTAAATAAAGTGTGTTCTACACATACAAGTGGCTTTTATTGCATGAGTACACATGAGAAGTGAAATAAGAAGGTGGAATAAATCCGGTGATAAATAGCATCTCTCTCCCCAAAAGATTTTTCCCCAAAAGAATTAGGATCTATCTAAAATAAGGTGTAGCAAAGAACACACCTCTTCAACAAGAACACCTTTGGAGATATTGAACTTTGAGATAATCTTTTCCAACTTGCCTACACTTGCCGCATAAAGATTAGTCATTTCCATGCCAAGCCAAGGTCAACGGGATTTCCTACGCCATGACACAAACCATTAGACCCTCTAAGACGGCTTCATAATGCTTCCCATATATCATATTTTTTAGTACCTACTTCATAGAAGATCTAACAAACTTCCAGACTACAGTATTTCTTTTTTTGTGAGAGCAGTGTGTGTGTTGGGGAGGGGTGGGGGGGGGGGAAGGGGGAGGATATCTAGCAACACATAATAAGCAAAGTACAGACATGGAAGCTATGATGATTTGGAGAACATACCGATTTTTTTTAAATCCCAACAAGCATTGGGAAACAATATTGATCGGTAGAAAAGGGGTACAAACATCATCATAAAAATTGACTCCAATGACTTCTCCATAACGATTGATAAGGGGTCCCCCAATACCACTCTATCAAAGAAAATATATCATTAGTTGAAAGATTGCTAAAAATACATACAATCTACTCAAATAAAACCCAAAGCACAGTGCATTAACTCATACATACCACACAGCGTACATCAATTATTTTCTAAAACACTCTAGGGACATATTGCACTCCACCATGTATGCTCTACATTCTACCACATTGACAGCAGAGGAGTTGGAGGGAATAAGGAAGAAGTACCGAATACCCTCGGACATAGGGCTAAGAGTGCCCACAACCACGGAAAGGGCATCGGATGTGCGACCGGGCGAGTTTAACCTTTATGAAGAAGCATTACGAGGAGGGTTGAGGCTACCCCTTCCTCAGGTCGTGGTGGATGTGCTAAACAGGCTAGAAGCGGCGCCAAGGCAAATGATGCCGAACGCTTGGAAGATAGTAATGACGTGCGCGAGTGCGTGGCCGTAGGCGACCGGAGGGACGACAATGACAGTATGTATATAAATATAGTCATATTCAATGACAAGCACAAGTGATTAGTTTCAATTCACCTAATTCTACATGTGTCTGACACTCGACAAAACCTGCCTGCTTTTTTTCCAAATATTTTTAGACCCGGACACTTGAAGGACACACGTGTCAATCACTTAAACACACGTGTTCATCTATTAGACACAGGAAACTAATTATAAATTTGAAAAAAATAACTTGACATATAATGACAAAATGAAAACAGTATACATATATAGAAGTTAGTGTTATATTGCAATTTTTTATTATTTATAAATGATATATTTATATTTATGAGATATAAATATATAAAATTATACATTTTGTACAAGTCTCCTACGTGTTGTGTCTAGCATTTTTTGAAAATTGTTGTGTTCATGTCCGTGCTTCTTAGCATATAGCATACCAAGAAAAATTAAAAGACAAAAATTCATCATCATTCACCACTAATTTAAAACCGAAACCAATATAGATATAAGAGAGAGGGAAAAAGAGTAAAATTATTACTTTTGTAATAATGCAATTCGCCCTGAAAAGCTCTTTGCAATCAAATTTGTAGCAGTTAAGACTGCATCGAAAGAAAAAAGAGCAAGTGTAAATAATTGCTAAGGCACTTACAAGCACTGTGATCAACGAAAAATAATTCAATATTTGGGTATTGGATATTGTATACAATTAATCTTTGAGAGACTATACAAGCACTAAGATATGTCTTACCTTCTCTCAGTTGTGTAAGAAAATTGTAATAACGTAAATTTAAACATGTAAAGTAAATTTACTTTGTGTACCTGAATTTGCCAGGTGCAGCCATAAGCTCAAGGGTTCTATCACAGGAGCAGCCAATGGCTACAACCATATCTCCCAGACAAAGTCTAAACAAATTTGAATGACGATGAAGCTGAAACGATTTGTAAGCCACCTCATTGTCCCACGTACAAGAGATCTCACTTGGATCTATTAAGATTGAATCATCCAAGGGTCTAATGATTGCAGTTGGCAATGCTACATCTGTTTCAATACTAATGATAGCAATGTTGAAGTGAAAATCGTAAGCAATCACATGACTGTTAAATGGTTTATCATTCATTACATAAACACCAACCTCAACTAGCAATAATAGTAAGTTACACCCACCCAAAAAAAATAATAGTAAGTTCTTTTAGCTAATTGAAAAACATTGAATAGTATTGTACTATGCCAAGTATTTTATAATTAAAAAAAAAAAAACAACAATGTAACGCCCTCAAAATGATACAAATAACCCAACTCATAAGAGGAATGAATATAACGTAATTGGTACACTTTCTCATAACATAATTCGTATTACAAAAGGGGTTACATGCATTATACATTCATAAACGTTCATTTAGAATCTACAACATGTAATGCAAATTAATACCAACAAATTAAATATCCAACGGGCTTACATCTTTTCAAGACATATCTTGGTTACAATAAAAAATGAGCTTTGCTCGTTACATCTTAAGCCCTTGGCTTTACAAAAATATACAATCAAAATGAGAAGCCCTTGCTTCCAAAAGTTTCTCCAACGCTATTGCCTTGGTGGAGGCATGCCATCATTACCTGAAAATGTTATTCCCAAGTAGGATGAGCCACAGTCCAGTAGAGACCATCTAACATAGTACATGAAATTTAGCAAAGGTATAAGTACACTATGCATATACAACGTCAAAGATAACGGCATCCACATTATGTATAGTCTTAAATTACCAAACTCAATCATTAAGCCATTTCTCTTCATTTCATTTAATTACATAAGCCAATTTCATCATTTCTCAACAACCCAAATGAGATTACAACTCATTAGTTCTAGAACCACATTATCAACGTGTAAGCACTTCAAACTTTTCTTTCATGGATATTTCGTCCGTGGGCAGCCGTCAAACGGGACCCATGTATTTTTTTCACTTATATTTCATCCACGGGCAGCTGTCAAATGGGACCCATGTAAACGTAGGCTATACAAGCACTACCATTGCCATTTTATGGATATTTCGTCCATGGGCTAGGCACCCATGTATAATTTCGAGACTTTCACCCAGGATACTTTGGCCAACTTAATTATAATGGAGTCCATCCCCTTTCTCCTCCCAAACAATCATACATACATATGCAATGTATTTAATCACAAACTCGAACAATGGAGTACATCCTCTTTCCACTCCCAAGTAACCATACATATACAATGTATATAAATATAGTCATATTCAATGACAAGCACAAGTGATTAGTTTCAATTCACCTAATCCGCATGCAATTTCTACAACAATCATAGCTATTCTCCACTGATAGCCCAATACAGTTATTTCTAAACAGATATAAAATCTCATAACATATAGTTTATTCGAAACTACCAAAGAATGGAATAACACATAGCCAATCCCACCATTCATATCAATACTCTTTCAATTTCACATTTTTAATGCCAATTTCCATTATTCATACAAAATAATAATTTGATTCAATTTGGGTAAATTCCTCTTTTTCCTCAAATATTAGCCAAGTGCCAAAATCATCAAATCATACACAATACAACATCATTTTCAAACCCCTTAAGCATTTATTTCACCTTTACCCAAAAACCCCTCTTTCCATTTTATGCCCAAACCCTAGGTTTGCCTTAAACACCCCCAAATCACATCATTGTTACACAAGATACTAATAACTAAACTAAATATCATATGGAAGTGTAGAAAAGATCCCTACTTTAAGCTTTAGATGAAAGAGAAGAGAGAAAAGCTCAAAAATCGACGGCGACGAAACAACTATTTGCCCTGATCAAAACGTAGCCCTTGACAAGTTCTACACTTAATCTCAAAGGAATAAGGTGAAAAGATCACTCTAGGTGAGTAGATCTAGAGATTTAAGTGAAAAAGTTTGAGTTTTAGAGAGAGAGAGAGAGAAGAGAACTCACGGTTTGAAAGGAAGAAGGGGAGGAAAATAATGAGAGAAAAGTGGTTTGGGCCTATTTATAGTAGTAGAGAATAGCCCTAAGGTCAAATAAAATAATAGGCACAAAACCCCCCAAAGGTAGAGCCCAATCGAACCCCAAAATCCTGAAAAAAACACGCAGGGGTCGACCCTTTACGTAGAAAAGACAATCTGGTAACAAGCAAGGGGGTCGACCCTTAGACAAGAGGGGGTCGACCTTATTTTCCAGCAACTAACACACAGATTCTGCAATATAAGAGGGTCGACCCTCCCTAGACTAGTGTTGACCCTATATTCCAGCAACACTTCCAGAAACTTCACCAACAGGTAAGGGTCAACCCTTAGGAAGGCTAGTGTCGACCCTAGAATAGAATTTCTAAGTCTCCAAGGAACTTTTGACAAGAACAAGTGCGAACAACCAAACCCAACAAGTTTAAATCGGATTATACTCCTCCAAAACCAACACATAACAACACCAAAGATTTCCAAAATAAAAATAAAGGATTCGAATACACTTCCCCAAAAACTTTGAAGGATATAGGTGCTACAAACAGCCACCTTAATGTCATCTGGTATAGCATTTGCATCAATAGGTGATCTTAGGAGAGTTGCAGAAGTTAAAATGGTATTGATGAATGTTCCATTAACATCCTTATAGCGATCCCGGGTTTACCCTTGTTGTACAGTGATCCGGACATGTGTCCGTGGATGTTGATAGTTGTTTATTATCTTGTTTGCATCCTCTTTACTTTGTATATTGAGTTATAGGATGTGTTCGGCAGGTTTGTTACAGGTTGGTTGTGTTTGGGAGCCTAGTGTTGCTGCCCAGATTTTTGGACCTTCGCTTGAGCGAGGAGTTGGTCGCTCGAGCGAGAGTTGAGTTTGTGTCTGGTGGATCGAGCCAGAGTGGCTTCGCTTGAGCGAGCGATTGCATCTGGTTCTGGACCTGAGAGTTGCATTTCTTGGCTCGAGCGAGTTTTTCTTGGCTCGAGCGGTCTGGTTTGTTCTTCGCTCGAGCGAGAGGTTTGTCACTCCAGCGAGCTTCTGGTTGCAGACCTGAGGGTTTGAGTTGTTGGCTCGAGCGAGCGTTCTTTCACTCGAGTGCACTTCTGAGTTTTTGGCTCGAGCGAGAGTTTTCTATGTCTGGTCGCTCGAGCGACGAAGGCTTCGCTCGAGCGAGCGTGTTTTATATCAGCGGACAGTAGCATTTTTGAACATCACATTTTCATCTTTTTTTTTTTATCAAACCCTAGATCCGAGACCCTCTCTCTCTAAACTTACACTCTCTCTAAGAATTGATCTCCCTAGAGTGTGAATCTAGCCTAGGGCCTTTGTTAAAAAGATAGAGGGCGTTGGGAGCTTTGATCTAATCTGAAAAAGTTGGGATTTGGAACACGTTGATCTTCGAGTCTTCATCTTCGTTTTGGCTCAAACTTCGAGGTAGGGATATCCTACTCCTCTCTATGGATTTTGTCTTTAAATTTTAGTATTTTGAGATATTGGGGTTGGTTTGGTAATTTGGTAAAAGTTTAGGGC